GCGACTGATCTGCCTCGCCCGGGAAGAGCGCAATGATGGTGCCAACTTGGGCCAGTGAAGCAACGTCCTTCACAACTAGACTGAAGAACAAAACAGCAGCAACTTGTCTGTTCCCCTTCCCCTAATTCCCCAGCATTGTTCCCATCCCCCCAATACCCCAATAAAAATCTTTAAAAAAAAAAATCAGCACATTGCAGACAGTTTGGGTAATGTTGACACTACATAGAAGAACAAAAGGGAAACCACTCACAATTCTAAACACAGTTAACATTTTCACCTGTCTCCTCTTTGTCTTCTGGGTCTAAATATTTTTCATAAAAGGACTCATAGGCGTGCCTTGTATACCCAATCTGGGGCTCTCAGTTTTTTCCAGTTAACATTATTTCGTTTTCCATGTCAGTCAATAGGTGCTCCATGCTTCTTTGAAAATGGCTGTGTAAAATTCCATCAGAGACTAAATCTTAATTTCATGTCACCCGTCTCAGTGTTGGACTTCTGGGCAGTTTCCTCTCTGCCGTTTTACACCAGTGGACTGGAGAGTGAGGAGGTGGCTCTCCCAAGGGATGGGGGTTGTCAGGGGAGTTCCATAGCGAAGTGGGCAGCTGGACAGCAGCGAGACAGAAAAGAAACCACATAATTCTCAACACATCCCCGTGCATCACAGGCAGACATGGTGAGACACTGTCGTATAAGTACAGAGGGTGTTTTATTAAAAGAAAGTCTGTTTTTTATTTTCTTATGGTTTTTTTTTGGGGGGGGCATTGAAAGTCATATACATACTTGTGGCTTTTAAAAATTACAGAAACTATGTCATGTAAGAAGTGAAATTCTTTGCTATTTCACCTTTTCTCTTACAACTACAGTATGTAGTCCTTCACACGAGGTCCCTCCAGCCAGTCAACATTTAATGAGCAACTATTAATATTATGTACAAGACACTGCTGAGCACTTGTACTTTAGTGAACAAAAGCCTTCGCCATACACGAACCCATACTGGTGACCCTTATCCCAGCCTCACCCCTGGGTGGCTTGACTCCCTGGGCAGTGGAGAAAGACATGGTAGGTGAGCCAGCTCACCGCAGCCACCAAGAGGGTGTGTTTGGCTTCTCCCAGGGTTCGGGGGTTCTACATAGCTAAGCTTACCATGCCAGCAAGGCACATTTCCACCCACTCAATACAATTTTTGATTCTGATCAAAATGACCCACCATTCGTAGTAGTACTGATGCTCAAATGGTTGAAATTCAATTCAGTACCTTCTGAGCACCTCTTACATAATAATAATTTATATCGATTTGGCGAGTATTTACTGGGGACTGACCGTGCCAGACGTGGGCGTTCCCAGACCCTTGGGCTCCTCCTCCTCCTCCTGACTTCACACAAAATCATGGAACCTCAAGGGTGCAGACCTCAGAGTCACACATCCTGTCGTCCGCTACCAGAGAACTGGCTGGAACCCAGTTCCAGAGGGAGCGATGCCCTGCAAGCAAAAGCTAGTTAAATATTAGATGAGAGTTTACAGTGCAGTCAGGGTCACCCTTTGCACAAACAGGAAAGCCCTTAGGTCTTGGTTCTTGGAGGGTAAATCTGCCTTGCAGATGAGCACGGGCTAGGGCCAAACAGCTCTGGGAGAAGTCAGGAGCCAGGTTTCAAGGCAAACGAAACCCACCTTTTCAAATCTGGCAATGTGGGTTTTTAGCCAGATTTTGAGTCTGTGTATGAAACTACAGTGAGGGGATATCTGAGTGATCCCAAAGAAGGAAGACAAACACTTGACCAAGCTTTGGACCGTTTCTGACTATTTGCAGTGTGTAGAATTAGTCTGAGTAGAACTGGTTTGTCAGGAAATTGGGTCCCCAAACCTTAGCCCCAAAAGTCCCTTAGACATCATCCAACGCATTCCCTTTGGGGATGGTGAACTGAGGCGCCCAGAGAGGGAGGGAGCCTTGCTCCAGGCCAAGGAACTATTGTAATTACCCCCCCAGCAGAATTGCAGGCTCCTAGCCTAGCACTCCCATTCCACAGCACTGTAAAATGTTGTTTATTAATTTAGCCAAGGCACCTGAGGGCGGTCGGGAATCTGTCAAAACCAAGAGGGTGAAATTAGCTTTAACAAGCCTGCCCAAGACAGGGCTGGTGATGATGGTGACGATGATGACGAAGATGGCAGCTTCTTTGGGGTACGCCTCCTCACTGGCAGGCAGTGTTCTAAGCACTTTATAGGTACCAACTCGCTTGGCCCACCCTACAGCCTCCCCAGGAGGGAACTCTTATCTACAGAGGAAGAAACAGGTTTGTCAAGGCCACAGAGCTCATGACAATTAAGCTGTGATTGAGCCCAGGCCTGCTGACATGTGGGCTCTGCTCTTACACACGTTCCTCTGTGTGAAGGCGATTTTACTCTGTTTTACATCTGCCTTTAGGCTGTGTCAAACTGAATTCAAGGAAATTGCCAATGTGGGTAGAGAGCGAGGAAGGGAGCAGGGAAGGGAAGAGGAGAGACCTGGGGTGGCTGTCAGCTTTGTCCCTGCCCAGGATACCTGGGGGTAACCAGGTCTCCCTCTCCGCACTCCCGTACGTAGTAACCTGATGCTGTAAAATGCAGCTGGTGTTGCAATGTCGGTTTCAAGGGAGGAGGCAGGCCCGATGCTGCAGAAGGCCATGCAAGTTCGGTCTAGCGGGAATTTGCTTTGCATGACTTTTACGTTTAAAAAGTGGTGGTTATGGGAATGACACGTTTTGCCCGAGAGTCACGTATGTGACCGCATTCATGTCTCTCGATTCAGATCCTGGCGTGGGGCGGAAGGGAGTAAGTTCTCTTGCATCACCCCTAATTTCCCCATGTCTCCCTGTCCTTGGCACCAATTGTGGCTTCGTGGGGGCCCCACTGTGGTTTGAGACATACCCCAGGGAGAAGGGAGGGCGGGGCAGGCCCCAGGGGCTGAGGAGTAGAGCTTTGGGGTTTTTCTCAGCTCCCAGCCACCTCTCCACCTTCATTGCTTGCCTCTGCGTCTTCTAGTCCCGATTGCTGGCACTAGGAGGTGGGGCTCAGCACCCACTGCGTGGTTTCCTGCGAGGACCACCTCCACCTCTCGGTCCTGCCCCACAGGGCAGGGCCCACACCTGCTCTTTGGGGTTTGGCCAATGATTGTTTTAACTGCTTTCTGAAAAAAAGACCCACTCTTAAAATATAATACATACTTGAAGGAAAAGTCTCTGAATGAATGGGTTTCATATGCTAGTTATGCTTTCCCTAAAACTTTCAGATAAATATGTAATTTTTGTCATGGTTACATATTTTCATCTAAAAGTTTCAAGTTTCACAAAAAGCATAACCAGCATATGAAACTCATTCATTCAGAGACTTTTCCTTCAAGGATGTGGGTCCTAGAGCCAAGTAAGCCTGAAACATCGCTGGCAGCAAAAAATGACAAAACGGAAGCTATCCTACTTGGGCCACATCAGGATTCTTTGGAAAAGACGATAAAGCTGGGAAAAATAGAAGGCAGCAGGAAAGGAAGAAGATCAAATATGAGATGGACTGACCCCATAAAAAAAAAATAAAATTAAAAAAAAGCCATAGCTGAGTCTGCAGGAGCTGAGCAGGGCTATGAGGACAGGACATTGTGGACGTCACTCATTCATAGGGTCACCAAGAGTGAGCCGACTCAACAGCACATAACACACATAACAAAAATACTCATCCAGGTGGCACCATCTCTTGGGTCACCTGTGGTAGGCAGACCACAGTCTGAGACACCCTGATTTAATCTAAAATAGGTTTTCCAAAGGTGTTCCCTTAAGAGTGCATGGACGGGGGTGGTATTGGTCTAACAGCTCCATCCCCATAGGTTGGAGCGATTTTAGAGGGATACTTGCCACATCCTCCCTATAACTCCCAGGTAAGGTAAGGGACTTACTTGATGGAGGAAGTGGAGTGGCCCCTGTTCTGTTTCCCCCTCTTCTTCCCTGTGGCTAGGATCCTGCCAGGGCCTGCCACTCTCTGGTGTGGGAGGCAGCAGTCTTTGCCCCAGCTGGGTGAGACCTGCCCAGGTGGAGACTTCCTTTCCCTGTGGCTGGGTCCCAAGGTCGAGATTCGGGAGAAAAGGAGAAGGAAGGCTCATGTTAGCTCCATGTGTATGGGGACAGAGACACAACTGCCATATTCTGAGTGTGACCTAAGAAAGATCCAGGCACTGCTGGGTTTACAGGAGCTTTTGGGAGCTTTTGTACACTCTGATTGAATTCCAGACCCTCCCCACTCTTATCTTGCCCTATTTCCTCTTGTGCGTCACCTTTTAGCCACACATTCACTTTTCTATGCCTTGAATACACTATACACTAGGCTCCTCACCTCAGGACCTCTGCATGTGCCAAACCCTCTCCCTGTAAAGTTCTTCCCCTGCACTGACAGCCCCTCATCACTCAGGCTTCAGTGCAAACCTCTTCTTCCCTGACCACACCTCCTGCAGAGGCCCCTGCAGCTTTGGGCTGTTCCAGGCCCCCTCCTAGCCCAGCCCAGCCCACATACCACATAGCACATACCACAGCCCTCGCCTAAGGCTCTCCTTGCAATGGGAGGGAAGAGAATTCTGCAGCAGGTCACCACCCCAGGGATGCTGGGCTGGGCCTGGCCCAACGACACAGCCTTGGTGAAACGCATCCCAGCTGGAAGGCCTGGAGAAGGGGCTTGGTTCCAGCAGAATCCCTGAGCCTCACACATGTGGCCTATCCTTGGGGGAGGTCATGGCCCGGGCACTGGGTTCCTGTTTATGTGAGGTTCCAACATGCCATCTATGGCTTCCGTCACTTGCTCAGTCTCTAATTTATGGGACTCGACCTCCCCACCCTCCGTAAAAGAAGCTGCCCATTAGCAGGAGTCATGGAAAATGTGAACGGACTCTTAGCCGAAGTGGGTGAGTTTTCTTTCTTGGTCATTTATTTATGGTAGGGTTATACACAGGCCTCCCCCCTTCCCCGCCTCCCCCACACACATACTCACATACTTGATTATTTTAAACAAAAAAAAAAGAAGCAGGATAGCACGGATGAAATGGAGAGCTTCGCCAGGATCTGGCAATTGGTTGGCTCCAGTGAGTGGAAGCTGAGTTCTTGTTATTATTATATTATCCCTGAAAGTGGGAGGGGGGATGCTTATATTTAAGGGCGAAATAAGAGACAGGCGTGGATTGCATTCTCTTAGGCTCAGCCCACCCAGGAGGGCCCAGGAAACTGCATTTGGAAGGAGGGTGGCCTTGGTGGTAAAGAACATGGCCTCCAGTCAGACCTAGATACACCCAGCTCTCACTCAACCCCTCAGAGCCCCACTTTTTTTCTCCTGGGGCCCAAGCCCAGAGGGGAAGATTGGGGAGACTGGCAGGGACTGGGTCCTGGTGAGCCCTAGGGCTTGGTAAGAAAACCCCAACATGCAGCCATGGCTCCCAGCCTATTGACGGGGTTTTGTTTCCTCAGCTGCTGGCAGGCGCCAGCTTGGGGTTGCTGTCCCTCCCACCTCCGGGGCATCTCTTGCTCTGGCCCTGAATGGACTTGAGTCTGGAGCCCCTGAGATGATCCCCAGTGGTGCAGGGCCTCTCAGGGCAGTGGGCCCCAGCTTCTGTGACATTCTGAAAGCTGACCGCACCCCTTGCCTTCCCAGGGCCCACCGAAACGACATGGAGAACATCTACCCCTTCCTGTTCTTGGGCCTCGTCTACTCCTTCCTGGGACCCAGCCCTTTCGTGGCCTGGACGCACTTCCTGCTCGTCTTCCTGGGCCGCGTGGTGCACACCGTGGCCTACCTGGGGAAGCTGCGGGCGCCCACCCGCTCCCTGGCCTACACTGTGGCCCAGCTCCCCTGCGTCTCCATGGCCCTGCAGATCATATGGGAAGCCGCCCACCACCTGTGACCGGCAGCTGACACCTCCTCGGCCATCAGACTGCTGGCCACAAGCCACCATGGCTGGACTTGAAGGACAAGGGCATCCCTTCAAAATTGAGATAATCCCCAGGGCCTGGTTTCCTGGCAACCTGCTGAACGTGGGCTCCTGGCCCAGCCAGACTGTGTGTGTGTGTGCATACGTGTGCACGTATGTGCCACCCTTGGATTCCTGGGTGACGTGGCCGATTGGAACTGTTTAGAGACGGGTTGTCAAGATTGATAGACAGTCAACTATAATTGAATATATATATCTAGTCATGGGACGTGGAGTATAGTGTGGGAGTGGAGTCAAGGAATTTGTAATAGATATGTATGATATTGGGGGGAAATGGGGCAGCGGAATTGGGGGAGGGGGGTTGTCACTTCGAGGGGTAAAAAGTATAACTATTGCACTGTGTTGTACAGCTGAAACTAATTCTAAAAAATGTATTTCATAATAAAAAATAATTTAATAATAATAAAAAAGATTGATAGACAGCCCCTCCACACAAATAACAGAGCATTAAAAACATCATTCCCTCTTCCTCCCTAAGAATGGGAAGCGTGAGGGGTGACTCAGTTCAGGTCCCCAAACCTAATAGCATCTGAATCCAGACCTGTAATAAATGAAGACTTCTCAGACCAACTCCAGAGTTTCTGGTTTGGCCCGTCTCGAGGGGGGCCAGGCACCTGCATTTTTAAAAAGCTCCCCTGTGGGCCGGCCGAGTGGCTCAGTTGGTTAGAGCACAAGCTGAGCAACAGGGTCGCCGGTTCGATTCCCACATGGGCCAGTGAGCTGCGCCCGAGCAGAGCTGCTGCTGAGCTGGTGAGAGTGCGTGCTCTTAGCAGCAAGGTTGCCAGTTCAAATCCAGCACGGGATAGTGGGCTGCACCCCCCAACATCCCCCCACTCCAGCAACTAAGATTGAACATGTCACCTTGAGCTGAGCAGCTGCGCCACCGATGAGTGGCTGCATGGCTCAGGGTGCAAAAAGGTTGCCGGTTCAACTTCCACATGGGATGGTGCACTACGCCTCCCCACAACTAGATTGAAAGCTGCAACTGGACTTGGAGCTGATGGGTCCTGGAAAAACACAATGTTCCCCTTCCCCAATTCCCCAATAAAATCTTTAAAAAAAAAAAAACTCCCCTGTGTGTCCCAGCCATAGCCAGGCCTGGGAGCCACACTGCCAGTTCCCTCTCGAGGCCCAGGACCAGGCAGGGTGTGGTTTGTTTGTTTGTTTATTGGGGAACAGTGTGTTTTTCCAGGACCCATCAGATCCAAGTCAAGTAGTTTTCAATCTAGTTGTGGAGGGTACATCTCAGTGGCCTGTATGGGGATTGAACCGGCAACCTTGGTGTTGTGAGCACTGTGCTCTAACCACCTGAGCTAACAGGCCACCCCAGGGTGTGTTTTTTTATATTTCTCTTACTGTGGGCATTTAATGAGGTGAGGGTGGGTGTACCCTTCTTTATGCCCTGTTGACACCTCCCTGTGCTCCCCACGTCCCTTTGCTGGGTCCTCTCCTTGGCGCAGGTGCTGATGGAAGGGGTCTTCTCTTCTCCTGAGGACTGTAAGTCAAGGATGAGGGGCTTTGAATGACCAGCCAGGAAAAGGAACTTTCTGGCTCCTTCAAGTCTCTGCAAGGTTTGGAAATCTGTAAATGTACGCCCATATGGGGAATCGTGTCTCCCCTAGACAATTGTCCTGGGACACCTGTGGCTTTAATCATTAAGTGGCGTATCTGACCAGCTGGCCCCACAGCCCTGAAGCCTCCTGGCTGCTCGCTTCTGGCGTCCACCAAGCTGGCCTGAAACTCCAGCTCGCTGGACATTTTTGAGCATGTGTGTCTGGGGCCAAACTGACAGGAGGACATGGGCTCTGGCAAACACACAGACGCACCCTGCGTGGGGTGTTAAGTCAAGCATTCAGCAAACAGGCTGCTCTGAGACTCGCCTGCCTCCTGCGGGGGGCAAGTAAGGTGGTCTGTGAGCTCCATTTTTCCAGGTGAGGGCACTGAGGCTCCAGGAGGGGGATGGGCTTTTCAACTCTGACCCCAGCCTGTCAGGGTCCAAGGCCGTGGTCTAACCACTGTGTGGTACTGCCTCACTGTCCCTAAATCCCCTCCCAGCCAGGATCTGGGAAGCCTCCCCCAGCACCTGGGCATGCCCACCTCCCACCTCCCCGCAGACTCTGAACTGCCCCCACGGACTGATGGAGTGAGGGGCCCCACCTGGGGCTCAGGGGACCCCAGGCCTCACTAGAAATCCCGGTTATCCCCTACGCCGCCGCGCTTGGAGCTGGGAGTGGACAACACTGCCCCCTGGTGGTGAGATGTCCTCCATTCTTGGGCGGCAGCTGCTCACCTAGAAGCAAAAAGGGTTCGACCATGTATTGAGAGATTGAGAGCCTACCGTTTGCTAAGCATTGGCTGGGCACGGCACATAGTATTTTTTTTCACTTAACCCTGAAAACGATCCCAAAAGGGAGGGGATGTAGATGAGGGCAGTAAGGCTCAGAGAGGAGAGGTAATTTGCCCAATGTTCCTGACCTGGGATGTGGTAAGGCTAGAGGAACAGAACCAGCTAGTGTTGGTTTTGTTTTGTTTTTAAGATTTTTATTGGGGAATTGGGGGATGGGAACAGCGCTGGGGAATTGGGGAAGGGGAACAGACAAGTTGCTGTCCTTTTGTTCTTCAGGGCAGTGTCACTGGCCCTCATATGTGGGATCCGAACCGGGGCCCTCTGGTGTCCCAAGCCAGTTCTTAACCAACACACCACTCGGCCGGCCCCCAGCTTGTGTTTTTATATTTCTGTATTTCTCTCCTGGGGAAAAGGGCTGAGAGGGCAATGTGCCCAGCTCAGACCTGGATTTGGAGGGCATCCAGCACCACCGGGACCATGTAAACCTGAGACCTGGATGAAGGGGGCGGAGCCACAGGGATGCTGAGCCCCATGTGCACCGCGCCCCATCCTTCATTCACCCCGTTGGTGCCTCAGTTGGCCACCCTCCAGCCATCTTGGGTACCGAGTGGGGTTGACCTTGGGCACCGGTGAGTTCTGGCCATATCTCTTCACCTGCAGCACACTACCCAGACTTGGATGACCCTCTGGGGCTGCCTTCTCCCTCCTGACCTGGGGTTGGGGTGGTGTGAAATGAGGGTGTGTGGGGGAGTGAAGCGTGCTGGTGGCAGCCTGGGGAACTCGCCACAGACAGGAACTTTTGGGCTGAGCCCGGGCCTGGGAGGGTGGAGCTGTCTCTGGTGGGAGCCATGTGTCTGGGGAATCTTCTGGGCTCTGAGTGAGCAGAAGAGGCCAGAGCTGGACTGGTGTGTCATGCAGACCCCAGGGTCAGTCAGGGTGCTGGGCTGGGTCCTCTCCTTGAAATGGTGCCAGTTTGGGCTAATGCTATAGAACATTTCATGTTCGCCCCAGTACACACACCTAAGTAGGAAGCCCAAGACAGGTGATGCAGCCCATCTACCTGGGCCCTCCAGTCTCCCATAAGAGCCCCTCCGGGGAACCCCTGGGGTTCTCTTTAATGGATTTCTTGACTCAAGGCTTCCAAGAACTTCTTTCGTGTGTGAGGGAGGGACTTGGAGGAACAGGCAAAAGTGAGAGGACAAATATTTAGAGTTTCTTGGCACTGGGGAGACATCGGTGTGTCACAGATGTGGGTGGCATCTGTGCTCAGGGCTCACAGTCTCACAGCAACACCTTGGACTGGTCTTTTGTCATTGGTTGAGACTTAATACGTCTATACTTCCTCCCAGGGCTTTCAGTGGTCAATATCATGAATTTTAACAGCTCCCTGTCATTCTGTCATCCCGGATGCCCTCACCATTTATTTAATCTGCCCTTACGGTTGGATAGTTAATTTTCCAGGCTGCATCAGCACAAGCAATGCTTTCCCGGGCATCTTTGTCCATAAATCTCTGCGCACACCCATTTCTTTAAGGTACGTGTCTAGAAGTAAAATTGCTGGGCCCAAAAGCGTGCCCGTCTTTAAGGCGTGGGGTACATATTGTCCTCCAAAAAAGACAGTTCCAGTTTGGATAGGATTTTAAAAAGATTCTTGTCCATTTTTAGAACCCAAGTAGGGAAATTTATCAAGAATAGAGACTACCCACAATCCCATGTCCCTGAGAAAAATCACTGTTTATGTTATGGTTTATAACTCCAGACTTTGTCACCATGCATAGTAAATATATATGCATACTACATGCGTAATAAGCCTAATATATGTATATATGTGCATATTAAATGTGATATTTATATGTACTATGGATATATATGTATCTAAAGCATCTATATCTCCAAAAGCGAGAGAGACTGAGGTAGGTCATGTTCCCTTACCTGTACTCCCTGGAGGTCTTGCAACCTGGCCACCGTGAGAAAATGGTTGCTCCTCTTGGTATCCATGCCAGCCAAGACTTCGAGTAGCTTCACTTTTTAAAGTTTGAACGATGAAAATAATAGGGTTTTTCTTTCCATTTTCCAAATATCAAATTGTAACACTGAACTATTGTTTTTCAAATTACACAGCTCCCAGACATGCTAATGCATCTGCTAGAATTTAACTTGGTTTTTTTAAAAAGTCGACACTACATCATAACTCCCGTTGGAAAGGATTTTCACTGGCAGAGGGGGCTGGGTGGGGAATGTCACTGCAGGGGGGAGGGGAAGGGGAGAGCAGGTACAGGGACTGAGTTGTCAGGATTGTCTGAAGAACCTGGGGTAGGGGACAAAGGGGGGCTTAAGGCTGAACAGGGAGAGCAGGGCTAGATGGCGGTGCCTCAAACACTTGGCCTGGGTGATGGAACTTTGCTGGGGAGGCCCTGGGGAACCATAGGAGGCATCACGCAAGGGAGGGACATGGCCAAGGCTGTGTTTTAGGGCAATTAATCTGTTGGCTTGTGCAGAATGGCCTGGAAGAAGATAAGACGGGAGGCTGTGACTGCGGCCTGGCAGAAAATGTGAGTAGTGGTTTGACATCTCCTCTGTAGAAGGTCTGGGGTTTCTTTTGGGTACACCGTGGGCAGAGCAAGGCCAAGCTCAAGGAGGACTTCGAAGCTCCACCTCTACCTGTATTAGTTTTCTATGCTGTGTCACAACTTGCCACAGATGTAGCAGCTTAAAACAACAGCAATAATGATCTGACAGTTTCTGTAGGTCAGGAACTCTACTCAGGATCTCACACGGTTGCATTCAGGGGTCCTCCAGGCTGAGGTCTCATTGGATCTCAGGGTCCACTTCCAAGTTCATGCGGCCTCTAGGCAGAATTCAGTTCCTTGTGCTGTAAGACTGACGCCCTCAGCTGCC